TTACTCGTTTTTTGGGACTGTCTTTGCTTTACTGATGGCGGACCAGTCTCCAGTAACTATTTGTTTTTCAGTGAGTCAAAGACAGACAACTGGCAGATAACTGAGTTAAAAGGTAAAGGTATGTGCATTAAGAGCTACTGTATAATTTGGATTCGGATTCGAAAGGATTGCGAGAGTGATCTTAGAGTTTGGTCATGAAGCTGAAACGGATTTTATTTTATTTGCCCTCGAAGTACGATACAATGTAATAACCGTTTACGATTTCATCATTAAGTAGTATTTTAACTCACTTCTACGTCATTGTTATATGATAAATTTTCCTAAAAAGTGAGTTATTTTGAATGTCGCTGCATATTTGCACCGCTGCACTTAAAGTATGGTCACATGCGTGGAACTGACTATACACGTCGCTGTGCGATTGAGTCTTCGCACTTTCTAAACTCTTTCTAACTAAGAAGAGAACAAATCTGTTTTCAAATCCATTCCTGTTTTCAAAGTTATTTCAACTAACTAATTTCATTATTGGAAAGACTTTTTACTTATGAAGAAGACCAAGGGGAACAAGGCACGAAATGGCTAAAAGACCGTTACTGCTTGTACCAAAAAAATTAGTCTACGGAAAACATGATACGTGTCACCTAGACCCGCTTGTTCAAAGGATAGATAGCGCCATTCCAAAGAAGCGCTAACCAAGCGTATTGCGCTGTTTACCGGATAGAGACTTAACAAGTGAGTTGAGGTTTGATTGGATAGTAGTCTTTCTGGTTTCCATCATGAAAACTGATAGGAGAATGGTGGCTGGCCTCACACATATTTTTACTTCGTCGTCCTTCAGCACATGTTTGAGTTTCTTCTGGTTAAGTCGCTCATAAACAAGGTAGCTTCATTACCATTTTTTCTCTTGTTGGATCGCGTGACAGTGGCTCATTCTGATGACGTCATCAACTGACTTGCACTGACATACAACAAGCTTCCGAAACAACGAGGCTTATTAAACGAGGCCATGGGAAAAAAAAAAAAAACAAACAAAAGGATTCAGCAGATCTGTTTATAAATTTTTTGCCACAAAATACAAATGGTGAGATTACGCATTTGGGGTTACTGTTCCTATTGCCATTA